GGCCCTCTCAGCTTTGACATCCTGTGTCTTAAGGGCCCTCTCAGCTTTGACATCCTGGGTGCTAAGGGCCCTCCCAACTCTGACATCTTGAGTTCTAAGGGCTTTCCCAGTTCTGATAGTCTGGGTTCTAAGGGCCCTCTCAGCTCTGACATTCTATGGTTTTATGATTCCTGGGGACCACAAGACTTATTCGGCCACCCGGCAAACCAAAAGTCCAGAACCTTGAGGGCAGGGGTTTGAAGGAAGCCTTCTATTATCCCTCAATTATGTTTCAACTTTGCCCTGTATAGGGTGAATCTTGACCAGGGATCCAAAGGGCTAAGCCATCTCCTAGTACAGGAACTCTTCCCTCTATTTTAAAGGGTTAATGGATAGGAAGAAGAAGCCTGGAATTCTCAGTTTCCTTGTGGGGGTTGGAGAGAAGGAAGGGATATTTCTAATCCATGAGGATCTACTATTCTGATATGAAAAATCAACCAGATTTTCTCCATTCTTTCTTTAGAGACCACTACGAAAGCTCTCACGAACACCTCTCCTACCAGTTTCCCCACCACCTCCCATAGTAGCTCCCCCTCCCCTCCCACCTCTGACAGTGGCTCCCCATCCCCCTTCCCTTCCACCTCCCACAGTAGCTCCCCCTCCCCTCCCACCTCTGACAGTGGCTCCCCATCCCCCTTCCCCACCACCTCCCATAGTAGCTCCCCCTCCCCTCCCACCTCTGACAGTGGCTCCCCATCCCCCTTCCCTTCCACCTCCCACAGTAGCTCCCCCTCCCCTCCCACCTCTGACAGTGGCTCCCCATCCCCCTTCCCTTCCACCTCCCACAGTAGCTCCCCCTCCTCTCCCACCTCTGACAGTGGCTCCCCATCCCCCTTCCCTTACACCTCCCACAGTAGCTCACCCTCCTCTCCCACCTCTGACAGTGGCTCCCCATCCCCCTTCCCTTCCACCTCCCACAGTAGCTCACCCTCCTCTCCTAACTCCCACAGTGGCTCCCAGTCCACCACCTCCTCCCACAGTGGCTCTACCTCCCACACCAGCTGGCCCTTCTCCCCAACTACCTTTGGGGGCTCCTCCCCAAACTCCAACACCTTCTCTGGAGATCCATCAGCTGCTACGAGTATGACAACCCCAGAGGAGGGGTCCACCACGCTGGGGATCAGTGCCAGTTCAGGTGAGGGTCCAGCCTTGTTGGGTTACCCCCCTCTCAGTCAGGCTAAGACCTGAGAGGCTGGTCATCATCTGGAAGTGCACCAGGTGGCGCTGCTGCCACGTGGGAACTCAAGCAGGTGTCAGGGCAGCTAAAGTAGAAGTGAGCTCTGCTGGGAAGGTTGTTGATCTAAGGAAAGAGAGATGAAGGTGTGGGTTAGACTCCAGAGTACCCAGAGTACTCTGCTTGGGTATCCTTCCCTCCATTCCCCACCCCTTCCCTTATTCAAGGGGACCTGCAGGGGCAGCAGCAATGGGGAGAAGGGATGGATGACATTGATGGGGAGAGGGGAAGAGCCTGACTGGGAATTTCCTTCCCCACTCCAGCCCCAGGGGGGACCCAGCGCAATCCTGCTGTGGTGATTGTGGTCTGCTTGCTCGTATCCGTTCTGGTCCTGGGCTCTGCTATGGTGGCTGTGAAATGCTGCCAGAAGAATGTGAGAGGCTTTGAGAAGATGGATGAGATGCCCATGGTCTGTGCCTCTGAGGAAAGATCACCCTGATTCCTGTCTGATGAGCCCTTCCTTCCTTCCCCCCTTTCTCTCTCTCCTCCTTTCCTCGTTCTCTCCCTCATTTCCTTCCCTCTTTCTCTCCCTCACTCTTTCTCTCTCTCCCTCCTTCCTTCCCTCTTTCTCTCCCTCTCCCATTCTCTCCCTCCTCTTTTCTCTTCCTCTTGTCTTGCTACCCCTTTCTCTGCCCCCTTCTTTCCTCTCTCCTTTTTTCTCTCCTTTTACCATTTTGTTCCTGTCTTCATACCATCTCACTCCGGGAGAATTCCAGAGGAGTAGGTTGGCCTAAGGCATTGGTGGCTCCAAGGAACCCCCAAACCTGGTCCTTCCTGCCTTCTCCTCACCACAAGGGGGGCAGCTCCCACCTGAATATCTCCTGTTTTGTTTCACTTTTCAGGCAACTGTTCGAGAGGAATCACCCTTTGCAAAATTACCCCCCCAGTGACCACAGATGGCAATGGGGGGCAGCTTCTGAGGGGCTGTTGGGACAGCTCCTGTTCACCCATGCCCTCTACCCCCTCCCATAAGGATACTGGAGTCTGTCACTGAATAAAACGAAGACTGAAATGAGACAGAGGCTCACCCTGGATCCTTTAACTGGTATCACCCTACTCCACACACACCTCTGTTGCTAAAGTTGGGATCCCCACCTTTGACTTTTGATTAAATGAGATAACAGTCAGTGCTTTGTAAACCTTAAAGCATTTTATAAATTCTATTATTATTATTATTATTTTACTTGAGCACCCCCATACCAAGGAAGGGGGCCAGTCCATACTGAGTTAGGTCACTCTCCCCTCTCTTGGGCAGGGCTTTGGGTTAAAGAAGCTGTGCTGGTGTAGAGCTGTGTTCTTTGTACCTCCTCTTATTTCCAGGAAAATCATCACCTTACTCTTGGCCCTAGAGAGTAAGTGGGAACTTGTGTATTGGGGAGAAAAAAAAGAACAGCAGATATGCAATCAGGAAAACCTGGGTTCGAATTTCTGCTCTGCCTGTGACTAGCTATGTGACCTTGGGGAAGGCCCTTCCTCTCTTTGCACTAATTATAACAATAATAATAAGGAGGAAGATAATGATAATTATGACTAGTATTTATTTACATTTGTTATCTCCTTGAATCTTCAGAATATTCAGAATGACTCTCTGAGGTAGATACTATCATTCCCATTTTATAAGTTTACTCATCTGTAAAATGACTTCCTGGGAAATTCAGCTTCCAGCTTAAGCCCCCATCCTTTGGGATCCATTTTCAAGACTGACTGGCTCACCTCCCTTCCATTTAACTGGTTGGGAAATAGTAGGAAATGACTTACCCAAAGTCACACAGCTAGTCATGGAGCAGAGCCAGGATTCAGAACCTTAAACTTATTCCCATAGGGAAGGGAAATTGGTTCTGGAGCCTAGAATCAGACCCCTATGCTGGTGTTCAGGGTCTTGGTGAGGGATCTAAGAAGTGAGAAGAGAAGAAAAGGGGTCTCTTTTGGCCATTCTTGCTTCTGAATCTGACCTTCTGCTTCTGGCTAAGGATTCTTGTTCCTGGGGCACTCACAGCCCCGGGAGTCTGCCAAGGCTGGAGGGCATGGACTGATTTTAGACCTCAGGGGAAATAGGGCCTGAGAGCTTTGGGGAGGGAGATGATGTCCCCATCGGCTCCTTCCCCATCTGGGATCTCTTCCATTCTTTGGGCCTTTGACTGACACCCACAGTGTGCAGAGGCTGAGGTTAGGGCCAGCTGGGGTTACCCTCGGTCATCAGGTGGGTGGGGGGAGGGGGGAGCCAGCTTGGAAGGAGCCTGGAGGGACTGACCCAGGTAAAATATTAACCAACAGCTTCGGGAGAGGCAGGGGCCAGAAAGGCCTGAGAACCTCCCCCTCCAGCCTGTCCCTTTCTCCTTGGCACTGGGTCAGGTGCCTCCCTTCCCACCTCCTCTGTCAAAGGAGTTGACTGACCCCAGAGGGGACCCGGGCATCAGGTATGAATCTTTGTCTCTCCTCCATCCCCAGCCCCTATGCCAGAGAGAAGCCAGACTTCCCCGAAGATGCTTCCCTTGCCTTTTCTCTCAGGGATGGAGGCCAGTAACATTCCCTTTGAGAATAGCCTGTCCACCCTCTCCCTCCCTCCACTGCATTAAAGGGTCAGAGTCCAGGCAGGCAATCAGAGAGCCTGGTTCCTGTAATTCAGGGCACTCCATCAGTTCTACCCATAAGCTCTGGGCACTGAGCTGAATGAGGTTTTGCCTTCCAGGATGGAGAGAAAACCGAAGGGCAGAGAGGCAGGTGCAGTGGATTTGGAATTGGTCTCAAAGGACTTGGCTTTGAATCCTGCCTCTGTTTCCTCAACTCTACATGGAGGTTGGAATATAGACAATCCCTTCTGGCTTGAAAGTTGCCATTGGAGGGTTGGGAAAAGGAAGGGGAATAAAGATTTATATAGTGCCTATTAAGTACCGAGCCCTGTGCTAATAATCCCTTTTACAAGGTAGGTGCTGTTATCAGCCCCATTTTATAGTTGAGGAAACTGAGGCAAACAGCATCAGTGACTTGCCTCAGGATCACACAGCTAGTAACTGTCTGAGGTCAAATTTGAACTCAGGTCTTCCCGATTCCAGGCCCAGCATCCTATCCACAGGACCACTTAGCTGCCATACACAGGGAGACATGTTGGAAGGAAGATAGTCAGAAACTGAGCCACAAATGTCAAACACTTGCTGACTTGATGCAAAAGATAGTATAGGTTAGCGCAAAGAGAACTTACTTGGAGTCAGAGGACCTGCAGTTAAAAGCCTCGCTATTTGCTACCTATGTGGCCTTGGCAGGTAATTTAATGTTTCTGGACCTCAGTTTCCTCCTCTGTAAAAGGAGGACTAGATGGCCTCTGAAAGTCTTTCCAGCTCTAAATCCAGATTCCTATAAACAATCTGTCATCCCTTCCTTCTTACATATCCAAAGTCCTAGTCCCCCCACTCTGGAATGTCATATTTTTTCTCCCCTGCCCCCCCCTCCATTCCCACTCTCTTTCCCTCGCTGGGGCATACACACACAGTCACGCTCTGGGTCTCTGGCCTCTGCCAGCTCACTGGCCCAAATCATCCAGAGTACCCAGAGGAAGGTGGTGGTGGAGGCAGAGGCTTAAGCTCTGGGCCAGGTCCCAGGGCCCCAGCACACAGCAGGTTAAGGGGCAGTGGTGGGGGTGGGGGTGGGGGTGGGGGCAGCCTGGCTGGCCAGAGCGCATTCTTCCTGACCGCCTCCTCTCAGAGGATTCCTGCCTGAGTCTGGTGCCCACCGCACAGCTCCTGGTCTTAACCCACTCAACTAAGCCACCCTTTCTTACCTCACTACCTCACCTGAGTCAGGAAGCAAAAGGTAGGGAAACCCTTGAGGAGTGCCTCCCATCTGGAGGGCCCAGGGCAACTCCAGCAGAGCCAGAACTTAGCTGCATGAGGTCCGGGGAGCAGGGGTGGGGGGGAGGGAGAGAGGAAGTAACTGCCAAGGATTAAGCTCCCTTGATCCCACGGTGAGGACCGGGACTGGGCTTTGGCCCCTTGCTGAGCTCCTCCTGGCCAGTGACTTACATTCTCTTGGATGCGTGTTTAACTCCCAATCTAAACTTGGCCCCTGGTTATATACACAAAAAAGATTCCTGGCCCTGGACTGGAGCAGGGCACAGAAGAACAAGGTCCCCTAACTGCCTGCCACTGGGGAGGAAAAGAGAGGCTTGAAGGGCATCTGTTTAAACAGGTAAGGGAGGGAAGGGTTCCAGCCATCTCTACTGGACCTAGGTGGACCTAGGTGGACCCTACTTGGGGCTAGCAGGGGCATCCCTGGAAATGGGAGTGAGAAGAGAGACCTGATGCTCCCCTGTGGACCCCGTTGTCCATTCCGGATCCTGCTGGGCTGACCTGGGTCTCTGGAGACAGGACTGGGCAGAGCAGACACTGGTGATGCTGCCCATGGTGGCCAGGCCCTCTCACTGATGTTGGTTTCTGGCCCTGTTCGCTCTCATGAGCCCCACCCTGTGGGAAGGGAAGGGGCTCTGGCCTCTCTAGGGGGACTCCCTAGCTCAGCGCTGCTGGTGATGGAAAGCAGCTGTTATGGGGGGTTGGGGTGGGGAGAGAGTTGTGCTTCCTGGTTCATGAGGTTGGTTGGGGGCTGTGGTAGAGGTGTTTTGTGGGGGGGGGGTGGGGGAGGCTGTGTGTGTGTATGCTCCAGACTTGTGGAAGGCTCTCCAAATGCCTCACCTCTGTTTCTATATTTTTTAATGGGCCCCAAAGTATTTGTTATGTGTGTCTGTGACTCATGTTGTGTGACTCCAGGTACACACTGTGTATAACTGTAACGTGTTGTGTGTACATTGGTATACCTACTGTGTCTTTTACAGGTGTTAGCTGTTTTAAGGGCTCACACTGTTCTTAATGTGTGTGTTGGGGGAGGAGCAGTTCAGAATGCCCCCATTGTTTGCGGGTGAGGGGCATACAGTGTGTGTCTATAAGGTGTATTTTTCTTTGGCACTCACACTGTGTTTGAAAGGTGCGTGTGTATGTGTGTGTGTGTGTGTGTGTGTGTGTGTGTGTGTGTGTGTGTGTGTGTGTATGTTTCAGGCTATAAAATATACCTAGCTAGATAAAGCATATATTAAGTGCTCCTGGGTGCCAGGCACTGTGCTAATGGGTGCCTACCTTTTGGGCTTGTGAAAGTGCCCTCTGGGTGTGTCCGTATAATCCTACGATGCGTTGTGTGTGTGAGTTTGTATACTGGCCCCTCTGGCTAGCCTCTCAGCCCGCAGCGGGGATGATGGGAGGGTCTCATGGGCCCCTTCTCTCCGTAGGCTTGGCCGGGAGGCCCCGAGTCCCAGCCATGAGGCGGAGCCGGACCGCGGCATCCTTCCTGCCTAACGAGGTGAGAGAGCCTGAGCTCTCGGTGGGACACAGCCCCCACCGCGGGCCCCAAGGCGCTGCGCCCCTGCCTGGCCCGAGGGGTGGGGCTGGGGGGCGGCCGTTTGTGGGTAGCAACAGGTTTTCAGCCAGCACCCTGTCGGCGGCTGTGGCGGGGTCAGTGACTGGACAGCGGAGGGGGCGGGGTGAGGGGCAGTGCCTCGGCCTCTGCCGAAGCTAAACAAGGGCTGGGCTGCCAGAGGAGTAAGCGAAGGGGGGGCCCAAGCCTAACTACTGGCCCTCCTCCCCCACACCTTTTTCTCTCTCTTTTTCTCCCTCCTCCTTCTCCCACGCTCCTCCACCCTTTCCCTGTATCTTCACCCCTTCTCTCTGTCCTTCCTCCTTCTTTGTCTTTCTCCCCTTCTCTCTGTCTTCTCCCTTCTCCCCATCCAGTGTCTCCCTCCTGTCTTTCTCACCCTTCTCTTCTTATTTTCTCTCCATTCTCCCTCTTCTTTTTATTCTTTGAACCCCTCTTTCTCCTTCCTTCCCCCTCCCCTCTCCCTCCCTCTCTCCCTTCTCCTTTCCCTTTTATCCTCTCTCCCTCTCCTTTCTCGACCTCTCTTTCTTTCCCTTTCTCTCTCTCCTCTCTTTTCTCCCTCTCCTTCCCTTTCCTTTCGTTCCCTCCTTCCCCTCCCTCCTCTCTTTCCTTCCCCTTTCTCCTTCCCCACCCTCTCTCCTCCCCCTCTTTCTCCCTTCTCTGTCCTTCCCTTCCTTCCCCATCTCCCTCCTCCCTCTTCCATTTCTTCCCTCCTCCTCCTTCCTTTTCCTCCCTTCTCTCTCCTTCCCCTGTCTCCCTCCTCCCCTCCCTCTTCCTTCCCTCCTTCACCTTCCTTCTCCTTCCCCTCTCTCCCTCCTTTCTCTCCTTCCTCCTCTCTCCTTTCTCTCCCTCCTTCCCTCTCCCTTGCACCCTCCTTGTCTCTCTTTCCCTCATCATCCCCCTCCACCTTCTTCTTCCCCACTCCCTGCCTCCTCCCTCTCTCCTTTACTTTCCTCTCCTCTCTTCTTTCCCCTTCTCTCTCTCCCCCTTCTACCCTCTTCCCTCTTTCTCCTGTTCTCCCTCTTTCTGTTCTTCTAACTCCCCTCTCTCCCTCCCTCGCCTCTCTCTCTTCCCTCCTTTTCTCTCTATCACTCCTTCTAGTAATAGGTGCTAGTACTCTAGGTAGTAACCTGTTGATGGGGAGTAGAGTGAAGAAGATGTGGAAGTCTGGAAAGGATGAAGCAGAGAGATTAAAGCCAAAACAAATCCAAGTAGGGACCTTTAATAAACATTTACATAGCACCTACTATGTGCCAAGAACTGTGTTAAGCACAGGATGTATATACTGTTATTATCTTCATTTTATAGTTGAGGAAACTGAGTTAGGTGATTTGCCCAAGGGCACACAGCTAACACATGTCTAAAACAAGATTTGAACCCAGGTTTTCTGAATCCAAGACCAGTGCTCTATCATGGCACCACCTGATGCCTTTCGCTACTGGTCCAGGCAGGGCAGGGAAAAGAGCCATCCTTGGAGGCTGGAATCTGTGTGTGGAGAGCCCTTGAGGCCTAGACAGAACTTCTGCTTGGAAGATGGAATTCAGAAGCCCTGATTTTTTTCAAGACTTATAGGTGGCCCTGTCAAGGGCCCATAGGGTGGTAAGAATTCTCTTAACAGTCATCACTTTAGACTTCACCTCTGGAAAGGAAGGGAGGCAGCACTTTAGCTTAAGGACAGGACTTGGAGAGCCTTCTTGTGGAGAATGGGCATGAGATATTCCATAATAAATGCCCCTCCACCTTCTCTTTCCTCCCTGCCTCCTGCCCACTTTCCTATCATTCTCTACCACTTTCTAAAACTTCCCAATTGACCTTACGCTCTGTCTGGGGCTGAGGTGGGAGAGGTCTCCTATGACCATCTCCTGGATTTTCTGCCACATTGACAAATTGACTCCCCCTACCTCGATGTCATTTTCTTCCATGTAAAATGAAGGAGTTGAAAATTCCTTCTTGCTCTGACATTCTTTACTCTCCAAAGGCTCTCCCAGCTCTGACATTTCATGCCCTGAAGTCCCTCTCAGCTCTAATATTCTCTTTTGTTAAGGGTGTCCCCAGATCTGACATCCTCTGTTCTGAGGACTCTTCCAGCTCTGATAGGCTATGTTCTAAGGTCCAGATTTGCCATTCTATATTCTAATTATCTTTCCAACTCTGAGAGTCTATCCTATTTTCAAAGGACCAGACAGCCATGGGATCTGTGGAGGAAGAGGCAAATTTCATTTGTCTCAGTGAGTTGTGAGTGGGGATCAGACTGTCTTGGCAGATGGAAGGGCTCTCTCCATTTACTCTCCTTTTCCACCTTGGGGCTTTTCACCACTTTCCTTAGCAGTAGTGAATGGGTTGAACAGGTTTGGAGAGACCTAGTAGGGCCAAAGAGGTTATGGGGTTCAGCATCTGAAGATATATGGGTGTGGCAACATTTGTCCATGCATGACAGAAGGATATCTCATAGGGTGAGCATAAGGTTATACACCTGAAGCACAAAAATCATTTTCTAAAGTACAGTATGGGAGAGGCATGACTAGGTAATTTGTCCAGGAAAAAAAAAAAGGGGTTGTGTGGGCTGAAAGTTTAATCTGAGTCGACAAAGTGACTTGACTGGAGGTTAATGAGATCTTGGGCTACATTCAGAGAAAAATAGTGTCCAGAAGGAGGCAAGTACTTGTCCTTCTGTGCCCTGCCCTGGTCAGCTCACACCCTGAGTATTGTCTCTTATTCTGAGTGCCACCTTTTAAGTACATTGCTAAGCTGAAGTACAACCATAAAAAAGATGATGGGAATGGTGATGAACTTCAAGTTCAGCTGAAAAAACTGGGCACATAAATAGAATCTGGGCACTGGGGAACGGGCATTTCTTTGGTGGTGGTAGGGATTGAGGGAGGGAGACCAAGACAGTGCCTGTTATACCCACCCACAGGAATGGGAGAAAAGCTAAATCCTTCCCCAACCCCAGGGTCACGAATTGAATAAAGCATCCTAGAATGACAGAGATGAAAGAGAGTTTAGAACAAAGAACAAAGAATTTTAGAGTAGGGACCTTTAGAATGATGAATGTCAGAGCTGGAAGGGACTTTGGAGATCATCTAATACAAATCTCCAATTTTACAGTTAAAATCAAAGATAGAGATGGGGGAAGGGGTTTGTTCAGAACTGAAAGAGATCATAGAGCCTGGAATCTCATAGCTGGGAGAATTGTTGTGTTATATTAGATATTAGAATATAGAGCACAGATGGGTATGACCTTGGAATATATATATATATATATATGTACATATATATATATATAAAAGAATAAAGATAGCCTTTAATAAATGTTAATTATATTGAAAAAAAGGGTATCCCTCCAAAGTCTCTTTCCTGGCCCCTCTTCTCCTCTCTCTATACTTCATCAATTGGTGATTTTGTCAGCTCCCATAGATTCAATTATCTTTATACAGATGACTCTCAAAGCAATATATCCAACCTTAATTTCTTTTCTGAATTCCCAACCCGGTTCATCATCTACCTGCTAGATATTCCATAGGCATCCCAAACTCAACATGTCTTCCACCAAATGATGGTAGCTGTATTATACCAAGCCCCAAGTCATTCTCCCTCTTTTTTCAAGGAGTTCAGCACTTGGTTCACCATCTTCCTCTCCTCCCTCAAATTTGCCCTTATAGTAGGGGATCTTAATAGCCACATTGATAATAATAGCTAACATCTATATAATGTTTTAAGGCTTGCAAATCACTTCACATGTATCATCTCAGATCCTCACAACTATATGAGGTAGGTGCAATTATTATATACCCATTTTATATATAAGGAAGCTAGGGCCAAGAGGGGTTAGGTGTCTGGAATCACAAAAGTAATGTGTCTGAGAAGGGATTTTAATTCTAGTCTTCCTGACTCAAAGTCAGGAAGTGACCACCTAGCTGCTCCAAATACTCCCTTAAATTTCCTAGCTTCCAATTCCTCATACTCCTTACTTCTCATGATCTACTCCTTCATTCCACTCAGTTGCACATAAGGACAGCCACATAGTGGATCTCATCATTACTCACAATTGTTTCACTTCCCTAATTAGAAAACTTGATATTCTGCCTGACCATAATGTCCTATTATTCCATATCTCCCTATGCCTCAGCCCTCCTAAACCCATCCTGAGCCCACATCAAAGCCTCCAAACCCTCTACCACTGTATGCTTTCTGAAGCTATCACCCCTACTCTGTCTTCATTTCCCTCCCTTTCTAATCTCAACCCAATAGTTAGCCATTTCAACTTTACTCTGTATTCTGTTCTCAAATTCCTTGTCCCTTATCCTATCAACACTCATTTCTTTGGGTTTTTTTTTGGGGGGGCAGTCAGGGTTAAGTGCCTTGCCCAAGGTCACACAGCTAGTAAGTGTCAAGTGTCTGAGGCCATATTTGAACTCAGGTCCTCCTGACACCAGGGCTGGTTCTCTATTCACTGCTTCACATAGCTGCCCTGACACTCACCTCTTGCCAAACCTCAGCCCTGGATTTCTGCAACAATCCATCATCTCCAGGCCTACTCATGAACCCCTTACTGCAGCTGGATGAAGTCTCACAACCATGCTGACTGGATACACTGTAAATTCATGTTCTCCAATCTTAATTGGGCCATTACTATGGCAAAGCAGTCCTTTAATTCCTCCCAGTTGCCTGTCTTATTCCCCACAGAAACTATTCCAAACCTTCTTTTTCCTCCTCAAGCCTCTCACACCATTCCTGGCCCCTCCTTCTCAGCCTCTGACTTAACTGAGAAAATGAAGGCCATTCAATGTGAGAACTCCCTCTCTTCTCATTCTTTTCATCTCAAAACCATTTGCCATAAGCCTCCATTGACCTTTTCTTTCCCCCAGTCTCTAAAAGAGAGGTGGCCCTTTGCTTTGCTAAGGCCAATCCCTCATATGCACTTCATCCCATCACCTCCCATCTTCTCCAGAAAATTGTATCCCCAAGCATTCTCTCTGTCTCTGTCTTTCTCTCTGTCTCTGTCTCTCTCTCTCTGTCACACACACACACACACACACACACACACACACACACACACAGGACATACACACATATATACACCTTTCCAGCCTCTCTTTATCCTCTGGTCCCTTTGCCTTCAAACATGCCTGAGATTCACCCATTTAAAAAAATCAATAATAACAATAATAATAATAATAATAATAATAAGGGTTAGCATTTATGTAGTACTTTTAGGTTTGCAAAGCATTTTACAAGTCATATCTCATTTTATCCTCATAACAATCCTGGAAAGTAGGCACTGTTATTATACCCATTTTACAGACAAGGAAATTGAGACAAGCAGGGGCTAAGTGACTTACTTGGGGTCACACAACTAGTAAAGTGTTTTGGACTGAATTTGAACTCAGCCTTCCTGACTATGGGTTCAACTCTATCCACTGTAGCACCTTGTTGCCTGCACACCACCATCTTCTCATGCTATTATTTGATATATTTCCTCCCTTTCTCAGCCAAATTCCTTGAAAAAGTTCTATATACTCACTGCCTCCACTCCTCTTTTCTCACTTCATCCTCAACCCTTTGCAATCTGGCTTCTAACCTCATCACTCAATTTAAACTATGGATTTGACATTGATGACCATTCTTTCCTCCTCAGTTCTCTTCTCTCTTGGTTTTTGTGACATTAATCTCTCTTGGGTCTCCTCCAATCTGTCCAACTGTTTTATTAGTTCATCATCCACATCATGTCCACCAATCATGGGTGTTCTCTCCACAGTTAGAAGACAGTAAAGGAATATATGTGTCTTAGGTCTTCCTATCTTCTCCCTCTACTCTCTTGATAACATCCTCAGCTTCCATACATTTAACTATCATATCCATGCAGATGACTCACTGATATAAATCCAACTCCAGTCTTTCCCCTGAAGTTCAGGGGAAAGTTGCTTATCAGACACCACATCACCAATTGCTTATCAGACATTTCAAATTGGATACCGTGGAACAGATCCATGCCTGGAAAAACTCCCAAGTACAACCCAAAACCCTTTAAAATGTAGTTGGGAAATATTTAGCCAAATAAATAAAAATACAATAAACATAGATGATGTTCATTTGTGGTTTTCTAAGTCAATATGCCACCTGCAAGGGAGTCTAATACCAGTGCCTTGGACAGTTAACTCAAGTCGACTAGTCTTTATGAAGCTTTAGCTATGTCCCAGACATTGTGCTAAGTTCTGGAGATACAAAGAAACATGGTCCCTTCCTTCAAGGAGCTCAAACAACTCCAGTAGCTTTCTATTATTGCCTCTAGGCTCAAGTATAAACTCCTCCTGTAGCTTTTAAAACTTTTCACAACCTAGCCCAAATTTCTCTTTCCAGACTCATTGGACATTATTCCCCCTCTTTAATTCTTCAATCCAACTAAAGCGTCTTCTCTCTGTCCCTCCCATGACATTCTGTCTCCCATCTCCATGACTTTGAATGGCTGCCCTACATGACTGGAATGCACCCCCTTCTTGACTCATAGAGTCTTTCTTTTCCTTGAAGATGAAGCTCAGGCACCCCTTTTTACATGAATCCTTTTATGATCCCCTACTTCTGGTGTCCTCCCTCCAAAACTAGCACATACTTAACTACTTTGTATAACTGGTATTATGTATTGGCTTATATTTATGCTCCAGATATACACTTACATTTGTGCTTGTTGTCTCAACCATTTATGTCTTAGTTCCTTTCCAGTACAGATCATTTCAGTCTTTTTATTTATGTTCCCAGAGCCTAGCACAGTGTCTGGTACACAGTAGATGCTTAATAAATTCTTGCTAAGTAGTGTCCAAACCATAACCCTTATTTTCCCCAAGTCCATCCTTCCTCCAAATTTCCCTAGTTTTGTTACTAACATCACCATCCTTCCAGGCACTCGAGTCTCTTATCTTGCAGTCATTTTTAACTCTTCCCTTTTATTGATCCCCTATACCCACAATCTGGATCCTACCTACCTTTCCAGTTTGATTTTGTATTACTCCCCTCTCTGCTTTCTCTTTTTTGGTCAAACTAGACTATTAGCTATTAACCACACAGCTGTGTCTGTACTTTTCCTCAAGTGGGGTCCCATGTGTGGAATGTTTTCCCTCCATCCTTACCTCTTCCTCCTCAAATCCCTAGCTTTCCTTCAAAGCACAGCTCACATACATCTCCTATGAGAAGCCTTTCCTGATACTCCAAGTTATTGGCAGTCTCTGTCTCTTGAAATTACTTTGTTTTTATTTACTTGCATACCTACTAGTAGATTGCAAGCTCCCTGAAGGCAGGGACTATTTCCTTTTTTTCTTCTTTGTATCACTAGTACCTTACACATAATAGATATTTAATAAATATTTGATTAACTGAATTTGACTTCACATAAAAATTTTAAGCTTTGAAAGGGTTTTATAAACATTACCTCACTTGTCAGGGCTAGAAGGGAATTTAGACCACAGTGTCAGTGATGACAGAATATCAGAAGTACAAGGGGCCTTAGGACATAGAAGATGAAAGCTGAGAAGGACTTTAGAGATCATCTATTCCAACTTCATTTTACAGCTTGGGAAAGTGATGGGTAGAGAATGGAAGAGATTTGTCCAAGGTCGCTCCCCAGAAAGAAGACCCCTGGTGAAAGTTATTATCCTTCAAGTCTAGGGAAAGTGAGTCAGGGAAAGCCTGTGACATGCTCGGTCCCTCAAACCAATTCTCTTCCCTGCCTTCATTGCTTTTAACACAGACTCCAACTTAAAGATTTCCTCTTTCCTGCCTCTCTTTCTTTATCCTTCTTACCCTCCTTTCTCAGCCTGATCCATTCCCACTTTTTCTCTGCTTCCCCCTTGGAAGAGTCATTTTTGCTTCCCTCCCCAAGCACTGAGTATGTCCTGAGGCATAGAAGTTGTATAGAAGTTGGGGAAAGGTGCTGGAATGAGAGTACCAAACTTCCTACTTGCAGACCCAAGGGTCCCCTTCCTCCCTTCCCTTCCCTTCCTGAAACTGCTTCAGCGCCTCCCTCTACCATGTATTTCCACTCCAGCCTTCACGACTTGAAATGCAATTTATTTCAAGAGTCAAGTTAATTAGCACCAGTACTGAGTGGCTTCAGGAAATGGAGGTTCCTCCTGCCAGCTGGCAGACAGATGGGCAGGAATGCTCTAGAGATGAGACTTCCTCTCCAGATGATGGGGGTGTGCCCCCCCATAGGCCAAGCCGACTTCAGCCTACACAACCTGAATTCATGTATGCCTTGAAAGGATCAGACTAGACCTGATTGGCTCTAGGAAGTAGACCTAGAAACAAATGGTTATGGGTTGGGGTGGTGTTGGTGGTGATGGTAGTGGTGAAGGAGTTGAAAAGAGAAAGATTTCAACTTGTAAGGAAAAAATTCCTGAGAATTAGATCTGTCTCAAAGTGGATAGCTGCTTCAGAAGGTGATAGTAAGCTCTCCCTCACTGGAGGGCTGTAAGTAGAGTCTGGGCAAGTGGAATTTGGATGGCACTTGGGATGCTGTAGAGTGATTCCTGTTCAGGTACCATTTCAACTAGATGCCCCATGAAGTCTTTTATGACTCCAAGATTTTGGGGCCCTCTGTTCCATGTGTCTTTACTTCAAGATATTGTACGCTTACTCAGACCAAACACTTGACACTTACTAGCTGTGTGACCCTGGGCAAGTCACTTAACTCCAATAGCAAAAAAAAAAATCCTGATATAAAGATATTGTATACTTATATACCAGTCCCTACAGGGCAAGACATCCCTTACCTCTCCAAATCCTCCTCCATTAATGGATGATGGGTAAGCTATTGATATCAGATTTAGATCTGGAAGGGATCTTAGACATCACTGAATATGAAATGATCTTGTTTTGCTAAGAGAAAAAACTGAGTCACAGAGTTGGGAAGGGACCTACTGGAGATCAGTTAGCTGGAGCAGTACTAGAGACAGTAGAGTGTAGGCCTCAAGGGCCTTTTGGTTTGGTTTTTAATTTGGTGTTGTGGAAAGAGCCCTAGATTTAAAGTCATGTTGGCCTAGGTTCAAATCCTGATTCTACCATTTACTCAGTGTGTGACATTGGGCAAATCATTTTACTTCTCTGGACCTCAGTTTCCCACTTGTAAAATAGGGTAGATCGTATCATCTGTCTCCCTTCCAGGTCTAAATCTTATGACTGCTTTCTCTCTCTCTCTCTCTCTCTCTCTCTCTCTCTCTCTCTCTCTCTCTCTCTCGCTCTCTCTCTCTCTCTCTCTCTCTCCACAATCCTGCAGAGGGTGAGGGGGCACCCAGGACAACAAATTTCCCACTCCAGTTCGTCCTCCACACTAGCTTTCTTGTAAGGGACAGTCTTGAGAAGTCTCTGTGTGTCTGGGGGAAAGAGCCTGAGGCTTCAGCACTATGGACAGCTTCCAGGGAGCTGGATCTAGGGAACTTCCTACCACTCCTGAGGAGAGGATTAATGAAGTGGGGGGGCGGGGGGGGAAGAGGAAGACTAAGCTTACTAGAGGACAGTAAAGGGAGCACAGAGAGTGCTTCCCTTTAAGTCTGCAGCCCCTTCACTATTCTGAATCACGTCCTAGACACCGAGGAGGAGTAAAGGCAAGAAGCACCCTTCCCAGCCCTGACCCGGGCCCCACTAGCCTCCTCTTGTCCCTACAGCGAGTCCGAGAGGCGGCAGAATTGAGCCCTGCGGCTGTCGGCCCCCCCAGGCAGCAGCGCAGTCCGCAGGCGCTTCTCTGGGACCCCGCAGCTGCCGCCGCTCACGTGGCGCCACGGCCCAGTGGGAGAGCCCGCCCGGGCCCTAGAGCCTGAAGCCAGTGCCCGGGTCGTGTTCAGCATTGAGGAGCGAGTGTCCGAGCGTGGCTATCCCCCGACTGGCAGCAGGTAAGGGAAGAAGAAGAGGACTTCAATATGGAACTGAAGGGCAGAAAGGAGAAATCAAAATTAGGGGCTGAGGGGGGAGGAAGTAGTCTCCCAGCTGGGGTCGGGGGTGGGGTAGAGGGACAAAAAACTATCTCACCACAGGCCATGAAGGGCAATGGGGAAGGATGGGGTCTCAGGGTGCCGCTGAGAATAGAGCCGATTGGGAGAGGGGAAAATCGTCTGTTGTGCCTAATCCTTCGCGTCCAGTGTTAACACAGTTCTATGTAGAACACTCGAATTCCTCTCGCCGCCCCCTCACCCCCACCTCACGCACCACTGGGAAAGGATCTATGTCACCTGGTCGGATGTGTAAAGAGAATCTTTGGGTTCCCTAAACACAAGGATCAGAGCTTTGTAAACTCTCCTGAGAAGGGCAGGGAGGCTCCCGGAGAGTGGAAGTTATGCCTGTGAAATGTTTGCTCTCTCTCCAAGCCCCGACTTCTCCAAAACCTTTCTGCATCACAGCTTCCGGGTGGGTCACCCTGAGCCCTGATGGACCCTTTACCCTCTCTTCCCTCATAGGTGAAACTATGTGCCCCGACCCTCTAACCTACTCACTCAATTCTCAGTTCCCTCTGAGGGTCGAGGTCAGATGATCCAGGCCTGGCTCTCTCCACGGGACACCTGGCCTTTATCACAATAGGCAAACTATCTTAATTCTTCCCTCCCAGGGAGGGCTGTGGAAGCTGATCATGGGAATTTTGATGCCTGGTCTGTTTTCCTTCATTGCTGTGGGGGTGGCAAAGCTTGTTTGAGGTGCCTAAAACTTACCACGGGAACTGAAGAGGGACGTGTTCAGTCCCCCAACTAGGGGCTATGGAGTGGTGCTAGTGTAGCCAATGAAATTCGTTCTCCTTATGCGGCCTTGGGAGTCCAGGAGTGCTATAAAAGTGGCGATTGGCCCTTCAGCAGGGACTGGACTCAGGACTGGCGCTTTCCCCGTTCGGGACAGGGCCACCTCCTAGAACTCAGTCCTGTTAGCTCGCCTGCCTGCCCTCTCTGGCCTCTCTACTTCTGGCCCTGCGAGCACCTAGCGAAAAGCCGTTTGACTTTCTTTGGAAGAAGAGGTCCCCTTTTCTCCTCCCTCCGTAGAGCCTTGATGGAGAAAGCCCAACGAGGGTGGTTTCACTCCCCTCCCCAACCACTACCCCGCTTCCGGGGCACTGGACCACCCAGCCTGTATTTGTGTGGTGGTGGTCAGGCTGTCTAGGAGAGGCTGCCCCAAGCTCTGGCCCACTTCATACGTAGCCAGATCCAGCAGCGCCCGGAATCCGGAACTGAGCCCTTTGCCCACCACCCCGCAGACCCAGACACTGAAAGAGGTGGGGGAGGGAGGAGTAGAGAGGAGGGGCAGGATTCTGCATCTTCAAGGCCGACAGCTTCCCGGCTTGGAGTAGGAGCCTTCTCGAAAAGACAGCCCCATGTCTTCAGCACCTCAAGAACAGACAGCTCTCCGGAGCCCAACCTACTGAGGGGAGCCAGCAGGGGTACCCGGAGCGCTTTAGCATCTACGAGGAGGATAGCTCTTGGGTTTATAGCTTTCTGTTTACCCCCAGAGGCTCCTGAGCCGAATGCTGAGCCTACCTGTCTAGAAAAGCTCTCCCTAAGGCGCTGCGAATTCAGCACCGACTCGGGGGACAACTCCCTGGAGCTTCAGCTGCTGGAAGAACTGGCCCTGACAGTGAGTCGGCTGCAACCGAACATCCAGCGCTGACAGTTCCTAAGCGTGGAAGCCGGAACCGGTATCCAAGGCTCCGGGAGCTGGAGGATTTGGCATGGAGAGCCCAGGAGGCGGCGGCAGCGGGGAGGAGGAGGCGGCTGCGGAGGCGGCGGAGGCAATAAGGCTGTGCCGGGCTCTTAGCCGGGAGGGCGCCGGCTCCGCTAAGCCCCCCAAGCACCTGTGGCGGCAACCGCGGACCCGCATCCGCATCCAGCAGCGCTTCCACTCGGACACCGACAAGTACCTCTCCAGTCGTAGCTCCCGACCCGGCCTCAGAAAGTCCCGGCGCTCGTGGCCCTCCTCTTTCCACAAGCGGTAGGTGAACCGTAAGGGGAGGCCCGGACCAGCGCAGACAAAGCTCACGACCCCATCCCCACCCTACCCGTAACTACCCAAGACCAGGACTCCAGGCTATCTCCTCAGATGGGGGAAAGAGAAGGAATCAACTGGTTTGGGAAAGAGAGAGACCAACGTGAGCCTTCATCCTGGGTTCTCCTGGTCTGGGGTCTACTGTCTCCTGGGCCAGTAATAGCACAGTAGTCAAGTGAATGGACACGGGATTGTATGTGTCCTTGTATGACCTTGTGTAAGGGATGGAGGGTGTCTATGGGTGTGTGTGTGTGTGTGGGTGTGTGTGAGAGAGAGAGAGAGAGAGAGAGAGAGAGAGAGAGAGAGAGAGGAGAGAGAGATACAGGTATTTAGTGTACTGTACTGGGGTGGGGGGCTTGTGTGCCTGCGTCTACACATGTGTCTCTGCATATATAGATGGGTGTATATGAATGTACAAGACCTGGCTGCTTCAAAGACAGAGAGAAAAAAGAAAGGGTAAAACTGATATGTATACTGTTTGTGTGTGAATGGGGGGGGAAGAGAGAGGGGAGAATACTGAGATACACAAACACATACACACACAAAGAGGAGAGATAGGAGAAAGCAGAAAGAGAAAGGGATATTGAGAGAGGAATAAACATACTAAGAGAGAGAAGAGACATAGAGAGAAAGAAATGAGATAATACTAGCTACCATTTATATAAACTAGAGATTTTGCAGCCCATTTTCCATACATTGAGAGAAGCCGTGTGGTGTGATGTGAAGAAAGCTGGGCTCAGAGCCAGGAAGATGCAAGTGCAAGCTTTGCCTCTGACACATCCTGGCTATGTGACTCTGAGCAAGTTACCTGACCTCTTGGTGCTCTAGGCACCTGTCAAAGACTAAAGTTGCAGAGAAGGTACAGATCTCTATTGCTAGGGGAAGTTTGGTGTTTTTTCCATCTGAGAACTGCCTATACCAATGAAACCACATATCCAGTACTAATCCTTATCCCATACATATGTCATTTCATTGGAGATTCACAACAGCCCACAGGGATTATTATCCCCATTTTACAAATTAGGAAACTGAGATATCTGAAAGGTTAAGTACCTTGTCTATGGTCACATGCACATAGTAAGTGTCAGATGTGGGATTTGAACCAGGATCTCTCCTTACTCCAAGTCCAAAAATCATTAATTACACCACACTGCCTACAGAGACAGATGAGAGAGAAATAGAGAGAATAAAAGAAGTCCCCCTCCCTTGCCCCCAAGGCCAGAGCTGCTAGTGCTTTATCATCCCTCTCCTGCCCCTATACCTTCCCTCAACCCAGTTTGGGATTACAGCAGGTAAAGCCCATCCCCTGGAGGTTGCTAGGCTAATGAAGCATGGTCTGTTTGTTCAGATGCATGGTATTCCAAGTCTTATAAGAGAGAGCACAGAGTGAAGAGGCTGTTCTACGTTCAAAGACCATATGAAGACCCAGAGAAACCAAGCCTGAGGAGGAAATGTGCACATCCAGAGCAGACACTGAGACACACAAAGAGACGTCTCTATGAGACATAAAGAGAGGAGAGAAGCACAGATTGAGATACATGCACAAAAGAGAGGTATATAGAGACACACAAAGAGGGAAAAGACCTAGACATGTATAAGGAGGAAAAGAGAGATATAGAGAGCAGACAGAGAGGGGGGCAAGGGAGCAGGCTCCCCTTCAAGACAGGGAGAGAGGACAAAGAAAGAAAGAAAGGAGAAGTGATGGAGAGAGACCAAAACAGAGAGAGGCGAGAGAAAAGACAGGCTGAGATAGAGATATAGACAGAAAAAAAAGAGGCACACAGAGATAAGCAAAGACAAACACAGAGGTACAGAGTAGTGAAGGGATATGATTATCTTCATCACTACCTTGCACTTGCTTCTATATTTATTAGCAGCTACCAGCCTGGTACAGTACAGAGAGCATAAAGTTTGGAGCCAAGAGACCTGTGTTTTAATCCCAGCCCTATCACTCAGTGGCATGATATCAGTGGCATGATTTTGAGCAAAGCCCTTCCTCTTTCTGCATCTCAGTTTCCTTCACAGTAAAATTAGGAGATTGGACCCAATGGTTTCTCTGAACCAGAGCCAATCCTGCCTTCCCACTGCTCATCAAAATTTCACTTGGTAAGCTGAATATTTGGGGGCGGGGGAGAATGATTCCACTCATCCAATTCCTCAGCTCATGCCTCTCAGCCATTGCTTACAATTATAATAAATCTTAGAACACAGAACCTGAAGTATCAAAGAGTAGATACCATCTACTCTATTTAACCAGTACGTTTCACAAATGAAACTGATCTTGAGAGAGAGAGAGAAAGACATTTGCCTAGCATCATTGTTGTTTTTGTTCAGTCATTTCAGTCCCGTCTGACTCTTTGTGACTCCATTTGAGGTGTTCTTGGCGAAAATACTGGAATGATTTGCCATTTCCTTCTCCAGCTCATTTTACAGATGAGAAAATGGAGACAAATTGGGTTAAGTAACTTGCCCAGGATTACAAAGCTAATATCTGAGGCCAAATTTGAATTCGGGTCTTCCTGACTCCAGGCACAGTACTCTATCCAAGTTGATACCTACCTGCCCCATCTAGCATCATACAGCTTATTAAACTCTGTTTAATGAGGTAAAAGAGGAGTCTTCCCCATTCTTAGATACTCTCATTGAGGGAAGAAAGACCTAGAACAGGGACACTGGGTTCTCCTTAGCTATCATGGGGCAGGGGAGAATGGACAAAGGCTTGGGAAGGATAGCAGGAGAACCCACACAGAAAACCTTATTTACCCTAGCCTGGTCAGCTCCTGTCTCCACCTTTTCTCCATGTTCTAGGGCCTCCACTCCTTGTCCTCACCCCCTTCCTTTTCTCCATTGACTAATGCTTTTTTCCCCTCAT